GATTGCCTTTGCTGCAAGCTTCTTGATCCGCCACTATGACCTGAACAAGGAACACATGTCAGCTCACAAACTACAGGAAACTAGTTTCATGAGAAAACAAAAATACCAGGTTTCGGCAGATGCGTAAGTCGCGACTCAAACGCAGCTCCCTCGTGCCTCTCAGCAGGAGCCGAGCTGAGATAAAAGCCATTGCACAGATCGGCATTGCTGAAGCTCACGCTATTTAAACGCGAGGAGACTCAGGAGAGCGTGTTTGTCAACCATGTGTATATGACAAATTGCTGGGAAACATATAGCTCTATCGGTTAGTAACGTGCTGGGGAGAAAATAACACGATTCCAGTCTGCCAAATGCAACAGTGCGCCTAGCATTCTGCTGATCTCTCTATATCGTTATTTCGGCGATGACATTTTGAACCAGAATTTAGTAGAGCCTAGAGAATAAAGCGTTCTGTTTGTCCAAGCGGCTCTTTCTTCCCCCTGTATCTGTTGCCGAGGTAGATCGTGGTGCTTCTTGGAACGAATGAACCATAGCGTATACCAAGATCACATGTTAGGCTCTTTCGTAGTCTTGCTTGTAAGTCTGTTGATTTTCGCGTTAACCATGGCGACGTCACTGCCTTATATCACGCACCGTTGCTGCCTGGTTCAGTAACAACAGTAACAGTTAGCAATAGAAAGTGTAACGTGCTGATTGTTCATGATTAAGTAGTAATGGAGAAAGACCCGGAAATGGTGAAACACCCTGTTTTGTGAAGAGTTCTGGATCGTGATCAAACATAACCTACATCTAAGTTCAAGTATAACAACATCTGTTAAAGTGCTCCCCGAGAGTTATTCTGAGTTATTCTCTAGTTTCGCCACTTTTTTGTTTACCTTTTCTTGATCCCATATATATCATTTGCGACGGTGTTGTGGGTGAAATATGCCCCCAAGGTTTCCTTGTGAATCAACATTTTAAATCATAGCCCTACGACGTTTTGAATACACTTTGGTCTTGTGTGGATAATTCGGAGTATCCCTTCACGTATTGACCCATCTGCGTTGAAAGAACTATCTTTTACAAAGACTGAGATCTCGAAAGTATGCCATCGCAACAGAATAGGGGCCCAGAGCTCCTCGGCGTGCAGGCGGCATTCCTTGCGGCAGCCTGGATTGCCACATGTCTCCGACTATACGTGAAAACAACCCTCACGAAGAGCCATACAGTCGACGATGGCGTTATGTATCTTTCGACCGTAAGTCTTTCTTTCCAGCTCGTTGTTGAACGACTGGTCTAACAACATCCAAGGTCCTGTACTCCGTTTACGCAGCCGTCGCCGTCCACGGTATTGTCAACGGCGGCATAGGCCGACATACCTCAGATCTGGACCCAGGCAGCATTGTTATAGCGCTCAAGGTCTGGTACACGTGCGAGATTCTTTACGCCTTCATATCCGCCCTCATCCGGACCTCGATCTGTCTCTTTCTCCTCCGCATCTTCAACCGCGGGACAAACAAGCTGGCCAAGAAGATGCTGCAAGCCAACATCGCCTTGGTCTGGGTCTCGTCTTTGATTTACCTCTTCATAGTCGTCTTCCAGTGCAACCCGCCCAACTATTACTGGGCCAAGTTCGAGGGACTCCAGGGCAGCTGTCGCCCTGCCCATCTCGTGCCGAACGCAACAGTCGCCCACAGTGTTATTGCCGCTTTGAGCGACTGGGTGATTGGCATACTACCTATGTGGATTCTTTGGCAGCTTCAGATGAAGCGAGAGAAGAAGATTCGGTTGTTATGCTTTTTCGGAATTGGTGTGATGTAAGCCAGAATCCCTATCCGCTTCTGAAGCACTTCCTTTCCGCTGACGCCTGACACACTGGAAGTGCCGGGATCATCATGATCATCAGGATACCTTACATAAAGGTGCTCGAGATATCGGCCGACTTTCTGTACCAGACAGTGTACGTGTGTTGAGCTTGTGGCTGATTGATAGAACGCTGACGAAACATCTCAAAGCGATGTTGCTTTATGGTCTCTTTTGGAGCCGTCAATTGGTATCGTTGCAGGTTGCATCGCTACGCTCCGGCCCCTCATAGCCACTTGCGCGACAAGCACAAGACCGAGAAAGAGATCAACTTCATCTTGGAGGCGTACCATCCCAGCGCCACACGCAATCCTTGTCACGAAAGAGGTTGAGATCACGGTCGAAACGGGCGATGAACGACCACTCAAGCCGGGGAGGCCGCTGCCAGACTGGTAGCACCAGAGAAATCTCGTTGAGACGTGCAGGCGTCAGACGAGAAAATTGATTTGCCTGGAGATGCCAAACTACTGGAAGTATGTATTGTAAAGAGGACTCTAGCGGTGCGGTGGTTCAAAGGAAACCCACCACATCTACCAAAGCAACATAAGATGCTTCCTCTCTGATCGAGTCACAATACCCCCAATCCAAGGAGACTACGGCTCCTGATCGAGGTTATTGTGATAGCCGATTAGAGGGGTAGGATTCCCAATCGTCTTATGTTATCACGTTCGAAAGTAATTCATATAGAAAGGCTCTAGTTCGATCCCAAGGAAGTGTCTATTGAAAAAAATGAAGAAAAGGTGCGCTGCCCCCCCGCCCCCCCTCCCCTACGTCGATCGGGGTCCTTCTCCCCTTTTATATCTTCCCCGATCGGCCTACTTTACATCATTTCCTAAGCTGATCGAAGCTTTCAGAAGGGGGTCCCCCCAAGACTGATCACCCCACCCCCACTCCACTACAAGAGGACATCCTTTCATTTCAGCTTGCTCGGAAGATGGCTCATTATCACTACGATTGTGTTGTCACCAGCTCAATGATGCGTGCAGCTACTGCTTCACAAACAACAAGGTAGTGTCGGCGACTTACAAGTCGCCTTCGCCGGATTCGCGAAAGTCACAAGTACGAATAGGAGGTCGTTCCTGACGCATCATCCTTGTCCGTCGTGTTTGCGACTTTCGGCTACAGTCGCAATCCCACACTTGAGGATGGTTGGTTCTTCTCTTTCCCTGGTCTTTTTATTCTCTTCTTTCCTCTATCTGAAGGACGTGATAGGACCGAAAGTCTGAAAATGGGAGATTATAGTCACTCACGTCGCAGTATTTCTTATTTCAAGAATCTAAACGAGCGTTTATTCTTCAATTTACTAAGCGATAAAGCGATCCCGGTCATCGTTGAAAATGATCCGACTTGAAATCATATTATGCCGTCCATGAACGTTTGCCTATGTTGTAGAGTTGCCTGATGTCTTGTGGAGTACCATGCTCTTCTCAGCTAACTCGTAGTCAAGTCTTGGCCTTTGACCCTGTCCTTCTATTGCCAGTGATGATACCTAGGATGGTTCGCACGTGCATCTGGGCGCAGGAGTGATGCTCGAAACAGTCGATGTCATAAGAGTTGTCGCGCCGGGAAATCCACTAGAGCCACCGGGGGGAACCTCCAAGGAACTTCCGGTAGGGACACTACCTACGGTACTACTGGTGTTGTCTATCAATGTAGTGGGACTTGCGGCCGTCTCCGAAGAGGTTAGAGAGATATCGGTCGTGATAGATGTTGGCCGGATGGTCTCAGTGTCTAAGCCTAGCCACGTTGAAGAAACTCCAATGCCATCGGTTTCGGTGCCAGTATAGGAATAAGGGGGTATTGGTTGGATTTCCGTGGATGGAGTGGGAGATACGGGACCCTCCTCATTTACCGAAGTGGGAAGATTGGCCACGGTCGTGGGTGACGTGCCGTTCCACGGAACGCTTGCAGTACCGGTAGCGTCCGATGGTATGGAGGCAGCCGTCGTGATGCTCGAATCGAGACACGTTCTTGTCATTGCCAAAGGCAGTGTTGCAGCTGAATTTGAGGCATCTGATGGCAGAAGCCGGATCATCTGGCAGCTGGGGCCGTCGTCGTTGCCACACAAGAAAGTCACCTTGGCGTAGGTGGCTTCAAGGCCTGCCGGCAAGGAAATGGCTTGCAACAGCTTGGAAGAGCAAGTGGTAGACGAGTTTGTAATGTTCACCTGTTGAGATAGAAGGACTTCCCTCTGGGAGCCTAGAAAGTAGATGTGTGCTTCGGGACATGCGGCTGCATCGTCAGGAGTCTCGAAGTATTCCACGCCGCCGAGTCTCATCGCAGGACCCCTCCAACACTCCTCCTCGATAACCTCTGCTAGAGCATGAGTAAACGTGATTGTGGCAAAAGTACTGATTGAAGCAAAAGTAAGCCACTTCATTGCGAGCAAAATAACAGACTATGAGCGCAGTCAGTGTCCCTATATAAACATCCATCTTCAAATGGCTATTGCGGATTCGCCGCTGACGCGGTGTGGGTGGACTTACCTGTGACCATTGTAGTTCATAGATCATTTGAGACTCAAGAAGACGTATCGCCGTACGTTATGTCATGAGCGATGAGATACAAGTGGTCGCTTTACAGAACAGCGGCCTGGATCAGAAGAAAGGCGTGACAAAGCTAGGGAACGGAGAATAGATCTGACTAAAAGTCTGACGATGCGTAAAAAGGTCCGTAATTATTTGGAGCTATCAGCCCACCAGAATGACGTTATGCATTGAGGAATTATTGGCCTTTTACCTCCCTCGGTAGTTATTGCTCTGGAAATAAAACTATCACTCTCTCTTCTTCTGAGCTCAGCTTTAGGATGTGCAGATTATGATTGGTATAGATTAGAAACCACTGCCTTGAACAGAATACAATGCTGAGTATTAGAGCTCACTGCTAGCCGGACATTGTACTATCAAGCCCAGCACGATGTGATTGACTGTGAAAAGAGTCAATCATATATCCCGGCAGCTTGTCTCGCTCGACAAGCTGCAGCTCGCAAGGAACCCCATCGTCGTCAAGCTCAAGAACGAAAGCGCCACGCGCGAGGAGCGTCAAGATCGTCGGTGAGACCGAGGCCCCGTTGGCTCCCATGGCCCAGTACCTCCGAGACATGGTCGACCCCAGCGATCCCGACGACGCGTACTTCCCCCGCTTCGAGACCTCCGTCGATGCCTTTCGGCCACAGTCCACGCGCGAACGATGAGGTCGCCGCCGTCGGCAAGGGCCGCTTCTTCCCAAGCGGTCCCGGGGCCACCTCGGCGCGGCTGGGCCAGCAGGGCCCCCTCACGGCCATCAGAGGTTTTTTTCAGAGTGTCCAGCTCGCCGCCGGCAGGACCTTGCTGAACGTCAACCTCACTCACGGCGTCTTCAAGACCGATGTCCTTGTCAGCGACCTTTGCAGGTGGTCTGGCGTCGACAAGTTCGGCACCGACAACATCAACGCGCAGGACATCGTTCATATGAGATTGCGTGGCTTATCCAAGTTCCTCGCCAAGACCCGCGTGACTATCCGGTTTCGCACCGCCGACGACAAGGACGTCACTGCCAAGAAAGCCATCCACGGGCTTGCGTGCAGTCGAGACGTTAACCGCACCGTCGTCTTCTCCCACAGCTTCGTCTACGGCGGCCCGCAGGAGGTCCGTTTCCAGCTGAATTCCGTAGAGGGCCAAACCAAGGTCCTTGGCAACAAGCCGCCTGGTCTCTACTCCGTCGCAGAATACTGGCAATGGATGTACGGACAGGCTCCGGACAAGACCCTGCCCTTGGTCATCTTCGGCACGCCTTCCAAGCCCATGTTCTTCCCAGCCGAGCGGCGCACCATCACCGCCGGCCAGGCTGTCCGTTCCAAGCTCTCCGGAGACGGGACCACGGCGATGCTCGACTTTGCCTGCTGCTCTCCCTTTGCCAACGCCGTCTCCATCGAGCGCGAAAGCGCAGCGGCTCTGGGCCTTGACGAGCCGATACTGAAGGACTTCGGCATCACGGTGGACAAGAGGCTGTTAATTGTCGTCGCCCGCGAGCTTCCAGCACCCGTCGTAACGTATGCCGATTAAAAAGCTCTTCACACGCGCAGCGGCTCGTGGAATTTGGGCGGTGTCCAGTTTGCCAAGCAAGGTCCAAGGATTACCAACTGGAACTGGGTGCGCATTACGGAAGGCCCGAATCCCAAAGAGTCTACCAAAGAAGTCGGAAAGTCTGTTCAGAAGTTTGTCGAGTTCCTCAATGAAAGTGGAGTTGCTGTCGACACACAGGTTCCGAACACCGCTCACCAGATCACCGTCCACCGCCCCACCGCCAACGAGGACATCAGGAGAGCATTCGCAGCCATAGCAGACTACACCACCAAGGCGAAGGGCACCACCAAAGGCTTCTTCTTGTTCGTCATCCTACCCAGACAGGAGACCACGCTCTACGGTGCCGTCAAGTCTCTCGCCTACGTCCACTTCGGTTTCCACACCATATGCTCCGTGGAGAGAAAGTTCCTCCAGAACAACACCCAGATTTTTGCTAATATCGGTCTCAAGTGGAACCTCAAGAACGGCGGAAACAACCACGCCGTCGAGGACACCAACGATATTGTCACCTCGGGCAAGGCCATGATAGTCGGATACGATGTCACGCATCCTACCAACATGCCCAACGACAGGAGCACAGCGCCCAGTCTCGTCGGGATGGTTGCCAGCGTCGACAGAGACCTCGGACAGTGGCCTGCCGTCGCGTGGGAGCAGCCTTTTCGCCAGGAGATGCTCGAAAACGAACTGACGGAGCATTTCAAGTCTCGTCTGGTGCTGTGGCGTCAGCGCAACGAGAACACGCTCCCCGAGTTCATCATCATTTACCGCGATGGCGTCTCAGAAAGCCAGTTCACCCAAGTCCTCGAGATCGAGCTCCCCATGGTCCGTAAGGCGTGTGACCAGCTCTATCCGCCCAGGCAGCGCCCGAAGCTAACCGTCATCGTGTCGGTCAAGCGTCATCAGACGCGCTTTTACCCTGCATCTGAACAGAACATGGACCCGAAGTCGCGCAACATCAACGCCCCCGCCGCGGATCAGCTGGAGAAGCTCACTTACAACACGTGCTACCTGTTCGGCCCCGCCACCAAGGCGATCAGCATTTGCCTGCCGGCGTAATTATTACGCAGACATCGTGTGTGAACGAGCCTGTCTCCACCGACCTCATTTGTTCGATGAACGGACGCAGCGTCTACGGCCACTGGTTCTCAGACTGCCGCACCGGCGAACGCCACCCAGGTGCATCCGAAGCTGAGGGACACGATGTACTATATCTGAGGGGGCATGCAGAATGCGGAGATCTGGCTGGCTATTATATGGCAAGTGGACGGCAGCAAAGGCAGAACGAAATGCGTACTTCAGGTGTCCAGTCGTCGACAACTACTTTATTATACTTCTCCACTAAAGCTCTGGTTCGTTTCGCTCTAAACGGCCCTTCGCATGAGCCGCTACTGTATGAAAGCGCGCTATGAAGTATTTCGGCACTTCTGGAGATCTAACGGACAGTCTTTGTTCTTGTCAGCAATCCAACACCGCAAACCTGAATATGGCATACGCAACAAATTGAGGCGCTTGGTTAGCGGTATCGCTGACCGATGAATCGTCAATGCCCACAGGACCTTCCGAATCACTTCAGCGCTACTTCAGGAATAAAAATAATGGACCTATGAGGAGTTAGTGCCTTAGCAGATATCAGGAATACATTGAATACGCAATAGCCGTAGGACACGAACTGAGTACGGTAGGAAGGGGGGAAAAGAAACACCCTGCCCTCGTGGCATCAGGTGCAACGACTGACGGTGTAAACATGACGAGTCATCTGGCTGCTGGGATGGACTCCGTGGAGCGGTCCTAGGTCGGAAGCCTCTGCACCGGACTGGATGCATCCTTTTCTCAAATGAGCAGGTCGTCAGTCTCAGTGGCAACACCCGGGGAAATGTTTTCATCCACATCATGTATGCATCAGGTCAAATCAAGCGAAGGATGTGGCTGAAGCAGGCCGAATCCAATATTTAAGAATTGTGCTTGACCGTAATTAATCCACTCGTCAACAGCCAGACGAGGTAGCTCTTTGGACACGGTTAAATCGTAGCCATCAGTCAATAATATTTTGTTTTCCCTATGGTTTGCACAGTATCCACTTGGAACATGCGAACATTCTTATGAGTGCCACACTTCCTTCCCACTGCTTCACAGTTCTTTGGTCCATGCAACGGTCGCTGTTGGCGCATTAACTGTGCCAGATGCCAAACCTGTCCCTTCTCATGCAAGTGCATGTGCATCGGAGCTTACGTTCCTTGTCTTACCTTGCTGCGAAACTCGGGATAAGTTGACTTCAGGCCGAGATAGTAGCTTCCTATTGTGGAACAGACTGCATGACACCAAGCGAGCCACTACGCGAACAGGCCTATTACCGGCTACGCTCATCTGAGCTATGTTGATCTCCAGGTGTTGGTAATAGTGACAAAATCGAACGGAAGTTTTGGTGACGACCAGACCGTCTCCAGGTATAAATATGACGACCGACCGCCTGAGGTTCACTGTGAATGGGTCGGTTACAGATTTTCTCCAGAACAGTCTGATTTGTTAACAATAGTCAAAGGGGCAATTCATTAGGGAAATTCATTGGGCACCTACCCAACGTGACAAAACCGACAATTATGGCTGTTACGGTTTCCGTGTACAACAATCTTCCCACCCTGGAAGAGGCCGACCATCGCTTTGTCGACCGATCTAGGGTGCTTAGAGATTTGAAAGACCTTTTCGCCAAATACGACAACGTTTACGGTCTCTGCTTAGTTCATGCACACTGCAAGCTGAACGAAGGCGAGATCATGCTTGCGCAAGGAAACACGACACAGCCTGAGAGCATAGACTCGATGGAAAACTGTCATCCCGAGCGATGGCTTCCTTCTGGCAAGCCGTATGAGTTCACTACGCGGGAAACCGTTCCCCCTCCCGCAGATCTTCTCAAATCGTTCAACGAACTTACTTACGGTATTGACGTTCTTGGCCTGTATCACGTCGATGATAAGAACACTGGCAAGATGATCGAGCATACTGAGGGACGGAAGAATATTCTCTCGTCTTTCGATGATCCTAACACCCTGCAGCCAGGAGATTATATGGAGACAGCTTGGGACCTTGGAAAGGGTGATCCTGTCACCATGACCTGTGTTATTTACTGTGACACCCGATCAACACGTTCTGGGGGAACTCACAAAGGTATGCCGCCCAGTTCATGCCTCCCATGCTTCGGCTCGAACTAATACCATGGCACTTTAGGTACAAAGAGTCACGTGAAGCAGTGATTCCATTCTGGCTTTCCTTTCTCAAAGTTCGTGTTGTCGGCAGCCACTAGAGAATGTTTCTGTCTTTCGCGACATGGCCGCTTTTGTTATGACGATGCCTCCAATACCTTCATTATACCTGTTGTTTCACCTCAAACAACCTGAATTTAAGCAGAGGTATGAACAGAGCGTGTAGGGCTGTTCTTATGTAGGGGAATTGCACAATCATTACACAGACACGGCATTTCTATTTACAGACATTCACTGGTCATACTTGTCAATCAACGCACATAAGCCCTGGCTTTCTTTTAAGTGCTAACAGGCCTATCTACCAGCTGACGGCTGCACAGACTGATCAACTCATTAACCTCATCCTGCTTAAGTTTGGTACAGGCGAAAGAGATCTTGTTGAGACATTGTGATTTTCGCGATATTTGCTAAGCCTCAAATCATCTATGTGACTACAACATTGAAGAGCTGACTCCGACTGAGGCACGTCCATCTCATCGTCCCGGGGTATTTTGCCCACGCTCAGTATGTTGCCCCACCCGCCTTTCATCCGACCAGATACGGGCTGATTTGGCTTGGCAATGACTGATTGATTGATCGAATGCTACACGGTTTCAGCATGCCCCGAAAGCAAGGTTTGACCAATAGCCGACATGTTGACGACGACAACACTTCGCCCGGTTATTGAATCAAGGCCAACTGTTGAGAATCTCCTCCTGTTGTCATACTGCTTTGACCATTTTTACCTCGCCTCTGGATCCCCTCTTTCGCGTTTTCTTGCTTCGGCTCTATTGATGTTTCACATCACGTTTGATTCAGCGTACCTACAGTCTTCCCCAGTGCTCAGTTTGCCTTCTTCCTCTTGTCCGCATCCTCCTAGACTCGCACGTACAGTATCTCAGCTATAACTGTGAAATCTTTTTGCTGCCTCCTGCTAGTTTCCTATGTGACTGTGTTTTATCTCTCACCCACCACCGCGGTCCACCGCCTGACGTCAGTGTCGATCTGCAAACCACAATGTTCCAATCGCTTCAATTCGTCCGATTACGACAGGCGACCTATCTGTCTGTGATCTGTAGTAATCTGTGGCCCCGATCGAGCATGCCTGGTGTCTGGTCCATCCTCTGTGAAGGAGGTGATACCGTTCTGTTGGGCTCGTAATCGTTGCTGTCGCAGCACGTTGCAAACCCTGTCGGGGGTAATAGGCGACCCATAGCCCATCGGTGGCTGTAATGTTGATATGTGTCTGGGCGCGGTCGTTGTGCTTCTCGTGATAATCCGTGACCCGCCAGCGGAGGTGGCGACGGTGTTCTGTATCGACACGTCGTACGTTGTGGCTTGCTCTCGAAATTTTTAATGTTCAGAGGCCGCGCGCGGCCACGAGCAGGCCCTTTAGGGACAGAACCAATGCCGAGGATGATGACATTGTGCCTCAAATGACCTCTGGTAGCGCGAAAGGGCGTAACTCGATCATTTTAGTTCTGTTTTCAAGGATTTCGTCCTAGCGTTTGTTAATGTTGCTTTTTCTTCCCTTTTTTAGGGTGGGGGGGGAGAGGCGGTCTTGGCCAACCCGACTACGCGGGGCGGAAGCGGCCGGACTATAGTTCGAGGGGCTGGGGCACCGGCTCCGCTTGCTTTCACCCACCCAATCACGTCGTAAGTCGTAAGCTTCATCGATCTGCATCTAGCACGTGACTCCCGATGTCCTTTAAGTGCCTGACTCGCCCACCCTCAAGCTAACCATAGACGTCAACCATCCACCTGCTTAAACGACAAAGCGCGCTTCGAAAATTCAACACTATGATGCCTATGGCTTCAGATGTTCAAAAGTTTTCTCAGAACGTGCGCACCATCCGAGATGTTTACTCCAGAAAGAGAGACTCAACCAATCTATTCCCACCAGCCGGGCGGGTACTGATCGACATGAGGAAGGATGTCATGGACGAAATACTCTACTACACTTTCTGGTATGAGGAAGGTATTGGCACGCCTCACTGCGTGCGCTTGGCGGATGTTACTGGCGCGCTCTCTGGCGAAATTCTACGCCTGAACCGCATGTTGCCTGAGTGGAAGGGCGACTTCGAGATTGTGGGCGATCAGATACGTCCTCTTCAGCAGCCTTTGCCGCGTCCACAAATTGAACCGGATGATCTAGCTGATCTCGACGACGTTTTTGAACAGCTTCCTGTTGTCTCAGTGGACCCCAACAAGCATTTCACCAAGCGATGCAGATACGAGAGCGAAGTACGAAATCTCCTCAAGTGTCAAAGGGGATCATGCCCAGGGACACCCATCTCCGAGCATATCATTCAGCTGCTAGGGAGATCGTCGGATCACGAGCTCGTCTTCGAAAAGTTCAAACCACGATACCTCGTTCTAGGACGGGTTCACCCTTTATCCACGTACATTAACTGGATCCTGCAACTGATATCAGGCGTCAAAACTCTTCACTCGCTCGGCATTGTCCATCGCGATTTGCGCATTGATAATTTCGTATTTTCTAGCGACAGTTCTCAGATTATCATTGTCGATTTAGAAAGCCACTGGGGGATTCGTCAGGCTCCTGAGCTTTCACGCGATCCGGATCTGGATGCCGGCTGGCACGAAAAATCGGACATATACGACTTGGGAGATGTCATCAGGCATATGGTGCTTGGAAACGCTCCTATTATAGACCGAGTTGACATTCCTGTTCCTGCCCCCCTGAGTCAAATTGTGGAGGCTTGTACCCACACTTTACCGGAAAAACGACCTAGTTTGGACGAACTACATCTAATGGTTTCAGATCTTGAACAATAGAGCTGCATTACAATATGTAGACGGGAATTTCCTTTCAGTTCCTGCAAGCGGGTATCCAACTTGTCAGCGGATGTTATTTGGTGCATGCAGACCACAAAGAGTCTGATTCCGATCTCCCGACGCATGCCCGTGCTCGGCTGTCGTCGGATCGCGTAGGTTACCCTGCACTGGTGCCTTTCGGACTGCCACACCGTCGAACGCCACCCAAATGCATCCGAACCTGAGGGACACGATGTACTATCAATTAAGGGCCAAAGAGGTTGGGCTTTTAAAAAGAATTGAATTTATAAATCTCAAATGCCCACTGCCTTAGCCAACCTTTCACTCGCCATTGGCGAGCGAAAGAATCACAAAATCCACAACCTACTTAGAAACCTTGACAGCAATGGATTGTAGTAGAATCCGTTGAAAAGACCATAGAAAAGGAAGTGAAGACGGGAAAGATATGGGGTAGATTCCGTTGAAAAGGCAGGGCGTAGAATCCGATGAGGTTTTCTTAGGTAAAATAGACTTTGTAGGTGTTCATCGAAAGCTAGGAATCAGGCGAGGTCAGAAATGATGTTACTTTTGTCGTAAACTCGGTATCTATCTCTACATCTATAAATTCATGGTTGACGGTTTGTTGGGGCCAAGATGGCTCGTGCATAGCTAGACCAATCATGGGTAGGGCCGTCAGACAGATGGCTCGTGTGTCGAACGTTTGAAGAGTGTTAGCAAAGCTACAGCTATTATGTACAAAAAGCATGTCCTGTTGGAGGAGCATATTCGAAGAATATCGACATAGCTCTGCCGGGAAACCACACACGCAAGCTGTATGACGGACTGGCCTGGAAAGAAGCCAGCATTCTACCGCAATTACGCACCGGAATGGCAAGGCTGAACTGGTAACTCTACCAGATCGGCGCAACCGCCTCGGCGCAATGCGCTTGCGGGCAATCGGCAGAAACGGTAGAGCATTTCCTCTTTCGATGCACACAGTGGACGGCACAGCGGACTCGGATGCTCCAACAGACGGAAACGCGAAGAGGAAACCTGTCATACTTCCTAGGAGGAAAGCGCGCGTCCGACCCTAAGGATTGGTCGCCAAGCGTAGATGTTGTCAAAGAAACGATCAAGTTCGCTATGAGCACGGAGAGGCTAGATGCACAGATCAGCCAGCAGCGAAACCACACGCAACTAACATCATCAAATTAACTGGAGACACCCCCACGCACCCCAACTTCCCTCTCGCCTAATTTTTCTTGGCATCTGCTGTTAGTGAATGAGTGAGCCTACCACCAAATTACTAACAGCCGAAAACTCTTCACCTCCCCTTGCCGGAGCCCGCATCCGCGATGGCCTCACAGCCGCCGTCGGGCACCGGACTGATGTCGGCCGACCAAGCCGACCCCGAATCAGGCTCCGGGACACCTCCGGAGCCGAACCCCACCTCAAGAGCTAAGCGACGCCGCGACGCCGAGGCACAGCCGACCCGGCCCAGCCTAACGGGAAGCCAGCTTGATGCCACCACCGACGCCCCTACCTCGGCCGAGGGGCCCGCAGCCTCTACCGCATCTGCTCCGAGCGGATCTGCCACAGGGTCCGTCTTGACAGCCCTTGCAGAAGAAGCTAGACAGTACGAGGCACGGAAAGACGTCTTTCTGACCATTGCACGGTCCGTCGACAGCGTTGTCGCCAGCTTTGACGGTTCTAGAAAGCAGATCGCGAAAGAAGCCACTGCCTATGTCATTCAAACCCTCAAGAGACTGATCAATCACGAGACAAGCCCAATAGCGGCCCGGAGTTGGGCGGCTGTCGTCGCACCGATGGCGGGCAACACCACTGCGGCGACCCGGAGCGGCCAGAGCTGCCAGAGCTCTGCCCGCCCGAAGGCCACACTCCCCGCCGAGGATCAGCCGCAGGCGCAGCCGAAGGAGGACCTCCGCATCTTTGCCCGCGTCCCGGAAGAAAGCTTAGCGGCCGCTCGGAAGATCGCACCGTTCGCCGTACGACAGATCGTCTGTAAGGCCGTTGGCCTGGGGCTAGCGGACCTTCCCCACGTCTACCATATCAGCACAGGTTACTCTCTGAAGCCGCGAAACAAGCAAATACAGGAAAGACTACTTGCAAGTAAGGCAAAGCTGGCGGAATGCCTCGGCGCCCACCAGGTCGAGACGCCTATCAAGTGGTACACTTACGTTGTGCCGCGATGCCCAACAAAACTACACAGCATTGGCGGGGACGTCCTGGACCCAGCCACACTCGTTGAAGATGAGGTCTTCGCACAGACAGGACAGAAGCCTGTCCTTGCTCGACCGTCCCGCCTTGGGCCCAACCCAGTCACGAACGAAATATCTTGGCTCATATCATTCACATCAGAGGTCACGCCCTTCAGGCTCTTCAACCAAAGCGGCAGATCTCTGCCCGTCAAGAAACGAAGGACGCTCATCCGACACGACCCCGGCTGCCAGGGCTACCACTCCAACCGGTTCTGCGGACGACGACCGATCTGCAGCAACTGCGGAAGACCTTCCGATTCACACGAAACGGGACCCTGCATGGCCAGGCCCCAATGTGCCAACTGCTGCGGCCCCTTCCAAGCCAGCCACACAGACTGCCCAGCGAGGCCCTCGGCCGTAAACGGCGTCGTCTCCCTTCCCGGTCGAAAGGAGCGGGCTCGGATCCGGAAGGCCGGCCAGAAAGCATCGGACACTCTGTACAAGGCTACTCGATCCGACAGTAGCCAGGAGGGGCAGGCGTCCCTACCTCCACCAGCCAGAACCAGCAACCCGGCGCCAAGCGCGCGCGCATGAGAACGCCCTCCGCAAGCTCGATCGTTTGCCTCGGTGACGGAAGCACTGACAGCAGCAGCATGGATGAAGACGAGGCGGACGAAGGCGAGGCGAAGACTCCCCCGACAACACCTCCATCGACCGTCCCGTGCTACCCATGCCAAGCAGGAGCCAACGGGCAGCACAGAAGCCAAACTACAACGTCGCGAATGCCTACACCCACCTCGAACTCGACTCGGAGACGTAAGCCGAGAGCGGCGACCCCACGGATGCTACGCGTTGCGCAGGGCAACGTCGGAAAGATCTCCCCGGCGCACACGGCTTTCCTGCAGCTCTGCTGGGAGGCTCAGATAGATGTGGTCCTCGTCCAGGAACCCTGGACGGGCTGGAAGGACGGAAACGTGCAACTGAACACGCACCCGGGTTTCGACTCTTTCGTCCCGGTCGACTTCTGGGACAGCGAAGGAACCAGACCAAGAGTATTGACCTACACACGCAAAGGGATAGGGATGACGGTGGAGCAGCAGAGGCCTGTCCACACGAGAGACGTACTGTGGCTGGTGGTCGACAAAACGACGACTATCGTCAACGTGTACAGACAACCCCGCGACCCCCACAGCCGCACAACAGGGATACTGCTAGAACTCAAACCCCCGGAGCGAGCTTTGATCGCGGGTGACTTCAACGCGCATCACTACTCTTGGGAGCCCGGGACGAGGAACGGGAACCGGGGAGATGACATCGCAGGCTGGGCAGACGGCCACAATCTCTCTCTTATCAGCGAAGTTGGGGTGGCAACCCAGGATTGCGGACATGTCCTGGACCTGGCTTTCTCTAATATCCCTTTTGCGCACGCGCAGGTCAGCCCACAGTTACACCCGGGAGCTGACCACGAGGCCATCGTGGCCGTCATACCACTATTCAAACGCCCAGTGTCACAGGGAGAGGGCCACCCGCAGCCACGGCCACTGTCAGTGCCCGACTCGGCGCTGCCTCGGCTGAGAGACCTGATCGAAGGGGGGCTAGCTGCGATGCCCAATCTGGGGGATCAACCTACTCCGGCAGACCTGGACGGGCAGGCAAGTCACATCGTCGAGCTCTTCTCCCGAGCCATTGAGGCGGTCGGCAAGAAGAGAGGAAAACAGGGAAAGGCGCGGCTTGGTGGACGGAGGAATGCGCAGAGGCCCACAGAACGTACCGTGCTGCCCGCAACCCACAAGCCTGGGAGACGGAGCAGAACGCAATCCTTCTCCAATGGAAGAGCGGAAGGCATTCCTGAGCATTGTGAGGAAGGCTAAGCGAGCATACTGGGCCGGAAAGATCGATGGAGTCGCTTCAGACCGGGACCTTATCAGGTCATGGGTTGGCGGAAGGCGAGCCACTGACCAGAGCACCCCCATTGATTGTGGACAACCAGACGATCGAGGATACTAACGAAAAGGCCCAAGCGCTTCGGGAAAGCCCTTCTCGACAGGTTTAGTGCGGAAGATGACGCACCGGGTGACCCGTTTGACGTACCCGTCGTCCCAAGGCGAGCGATTACTTGGCAGGACAATGTTAGCGGAGAAGAAGTGAAGACGGCCACCTTAACAAAGACAACGACCCCTGGTGTGGACGGATCACCACGCGCCTCCTCCAGGCTGCTGGGGGTCATCTCGGAGCCGGTCAGGCAGCTATTCCAGTCCTGTATGCGGGCCGGCCACTTTCCTCTGCCTTCCGCAGAGCTGAGGTGGTCATGATCCAGAAGGCCGGCAGGGATGCCTCCAAGCCCGGGTCCTGGCGTCCGATCGCGCTCCTCTCGTGCCTGGGCAAGGGACTCGAGAGACTGATAGCCAGAAGGATGGCGTCCCTGGCGATTGTCGAGCGCATCGTCAGTCCGCAACAGATCGGAGCCTACAGGGCAGGTCAGCCGTCGATCTGACGACCTGCCTCGCCCACGATATCGAAACGGCCCTCCTAAAAGGGCTCACGGCGACACTTCTGACTATGGACGTAAAAGGGGCGTTCGACTCCGTCCTTCGGAACCGGCTCGTCATTAGACTGCGTCAGCAGGGATGGCCACACGGCTTGGTTAGACTCATCTTCAGCTTCTGCTGCATCCGCACGCTAGAGTCCGACTGGAAGAAAGCACAACGGATACTTCCCTGTCATGCGGGCTGCCTCAGGGGTCCCACTATCTCCCATTGCTTTCTGCTCTACATCGCGAGATACTTGAAGACGACCCGAACG